AGAGTACACGTACAGAAAGAGTGCACATTATAAGTCAAATAAACCAAAGTTCAAATCCTGGCTGTACTACTTTCTAGCTGTAGGTTATTCAGTGGTTTACTTAATCCTCAGCCTTATCTTAAAGTTCCCCTCATCTTTAAAATAGAAATGATAATACCTGCCTTGCAGAGTTGTGAGAATTATGCAATATCTATGAAGTGCTCCCTACGACCCAACATAGAGTAGGTAGACTGTTCAACTATAACTATGAAGATGATGACGATGACCATGACATGGCTTCTTTTGGCTTCAGTAACTCAGCTCAGTGCCATCTCTGGGATGGTGTCCTAACATTTCATGGCAAAGTTAATTTCTTCTTATATGTACTTATCATGCCTTGTTCACAACTCTTGTTATGGCACTTTGTACATTCCTTTAATTATTTGTTTACATCTCCATTCTCAAACTAAACTGTGAGAGCTCTCAGGTAGAGATTCTGTGCCATTCTGAGCAGGCACTTATGATCACAGTGTTTGCTACATAGTAAGTCGTGATTCTTGAGTGATTAATGTTTTATACAACCCTAAGATTTTAATGATACTGTGGAATCAGTTCCTCGAAAGTTTGCACTTTTTAAAAGAAACCTTAATTTGTTACAGCTTCGACAGTTATCCCGTGTGAACCATCCGAATATTGTGAAACTATATGGAGCCTGCTTGAATCCAGTAAGTTTATCACTTTTGCATTGTCACCTGTCTATAAGAAATGACATGGCAGATGTATGTAGGTGTGTAGTTTATGAAGTTATTTTGATGTTATATTATTTCTGAAAAAATTGTACTTATGTGTTTGTTTCTAGTCTGTTAGCGACACATTATTTTGAAGGAGTTGTCCTAGGTGTTCTTATCCAGTAACTTCATCTTATGAGGCTTATGCTATTTTGTGATAGCACCTACTCATTAACACTGGAGAAAGTCCCCAAAGATATATTATGTTTTCACATACATCTGTTTCAGGTCAGAGAGGGAGGGGATGTTTGGGTCATACTCTTAGACAGTGGGCCTCGTAGAAGACAAGGTCTTAGATCATAGATATCTCCCCTCACCCCCAGTGCCATTAACATAGTAGGGGCCAAAAGTATGATTTTTAATGCATTTATAAAATCAACAGTTGAACTAGGTTATTTTTCAAGTCCCCTAAGATGCTGTCACTCTGGTTAATTATTCTGGCATATGTTTCCTTTAGGTGTGTCTTGTGATGGAATATGCTGAAGGGGGCTCTTTATATAATGGTGAGTGTCATTAGACCTGTCTTTATCTAGTAGAGTAAAACAATTGAACAGCTTTTAATATAAACTGTAAGTTACTTAATGTTCCTCACAATTTACCTTCAGAGTCCCAAAAAGAGATAATTAAAAAAAAAGAAATCTGCTAAAGATTAAAAATAAAAATATAAGGAAAATTTGGAATTCTAAGTATATCTGTCATTCTTTTAAATTGATGGTACTTTTCATAATGTTAAAAGTGTTTAAAGTAAAATTTGCTTTTTAAATAGATTTTATTATATCTTCTTACTTTAATTTTTTTCTTATGCCTCTTAACGTTGAGCCTCCTAATTGTAGAACTCTTTAACCATACTTCCATTTCATTCTACTTTGTTTTGCTTTCTTTTCAAAAATAAAATTGTGAAAACTCACTTCACAGAACACTTTAATTATAACGAGGAAAGAACACTGTGTGTCATTAACTGGTTACCTTTCCAGAGCAGAGCAATTTCACTCTAAGAAACATCAACCAGATACGTAAATGTATTGTCTCTTGTACCATTCATATAAAATAGTTGCATTTTATTTTTTAAATTGACATTATTTTATATAAACTTTAGTGCCCACGTGTTCATCGTTGTTAATGGGTACCTAATACTCCATTGTTTTGTTTGGATGAACTATTTCTATTCTTAGCTGTTATAGAAAACATAATGGTAAACAGCTTGACACACATTATTTTGTTCTGTACTACTCAGTATCTTATAGAGGTGTGCCATCATATTGCTTATAATTTATTTAATTGTGTGAAAGACTTCATTTGTTAATAAGAACAAGTGTGGTAAAGTATATTTTACTTGAATATATGTATAACATTAAATGTTAGGTACTTATATGTTAGTTATCCATTTGAAATTATTAGATATTTCCATCTTTTTTTTTTAGAAAAAAATTCAAAGGACTGATGGGAGCATGTGTAAAAAATATCCAGTCAGATGTTCTGATAGTGCTTGCATTCACTTCGTGTCTTTTGTTATATGCAATAAAGTTCTTTTTAGTTTGTACCTTTCTTTTGCAGTGCTACATGGTGCTGAACCATTGCCATATTATACAGCTGCCCACGCTATGAGTTGGTGTTTACAGTGTTCCCAAGGAGTGGCTTATCTTCACAGCATGCAACCCAAAGCTCTAATTCACAGGGACCTGAAACCACCAAAGTAAGTTCTAGTAATGTGGTTGGTGTCTGTCTGTCTCTCCCACCCTCCCCTAGATCCCTAATTCAAGTTGATTGTTAAACATGAGTTTTTCTCTTTTCTCTTCTCTTTTGGCTGGCTCAAGAGTGTTTATTTTTAATCACTTTCTTCATTTAGTCATTTATCTAAGCTTGCATTTTATAGTGTTTTCTTTAGTGGGTTTTTATTTTAGTTGAATTTTTAATTTTAATAACTCCTACCTTAGATGCACATTTTTAGCCTCTTATTTTGTGCCTACAGTACATATTGTTGGCTAGATAGTGCCACGAGAACAGAGATAAGCTCATCTTGTTCCATGCTTTATCCTTAATAGCTAGCACAATGTCCCCACATAGTAGACATTCTACAAAAATGTACTGAGTAGTTATTATTTACCTTTCAGAGGAAAGCAAAAGAGCATTTCTGTTATCTGGGTAGACAATGCAAATATTCTGGATTTCTTTATATTGAAGATCCTGGAACTTTGAAAGAACTTCAGAATTCCCTAAATAAATAATACTATACAAGGCAAAAAAAAATTCTTTTTGTTGTATATGAGCTCAAAGAAAACATACATATGACATGTTTCTCTTTTCTCTCTAATTTTTTTTTCTTTATTCAACTGTTACAGAGTAAAAAAGTCCCCACGTGTCCTTCCCCACAACCACCATCACTGGCAACCACCTTAGTCCTTAGATAAGAGATTTCCCTTAGGAAATCAGTCTCAGGTATTCCGTTCTCTTTAATGCTTTAAAGCATTAAAATGTCCCTTTGGGGAATAACTTGTCACCTTCATGTTTAATCTGATATACTCTACATAGGTTCCAACTCTTGGAATCACTGTTCTCACTACTGTACCTTATTTCTACTCCCAGGCTTAAACTGATTTCTCTTTCCCCAGGTCCCTGGTCACATAATGTTTAAGCACCAGCCTCATGACACTTTGGTTTTTTAACTTGACTCCTGAGGCTATTGTCTTAGCTACCTATCTTGGCTAGTGAAGAAGTCACTTAGTCTTTTATTTTTTTCCTGGTTACAGAGATTGAGTCCTCCTCCCCCCTGTATTAACACACAGTTGAATTATCAAAGCAAAATCATGGAAATCATAGTTCTTATCAAGCAACAAATTGACTAATGATTCAAAGGATACAGGCAAGTATCAGGCACAGACAAAGCATTCTTTTTCTGGAGGAGCCAGATTAAATAACATAAAGGAAAATACCTCACAAAAGGAAGTCATTTCAGTTTTCTAACATCTTTTATATTTTATAATTACATAATTTAAAAGACTCCATTCTCCCTTTAACCATGTCACATAAATCCATAAATTTTAGGATCTAAATTTTATTTAACTGGTCTGTTTAGACAAACCAGGTATGTCCTACTGAAAATCATGCGTAGATAGGAATTCTCCTTTTGGTAATAAATACTATTAACATATTTATAAGAAGTCTGATCTAGGTCATTTGTTTCTATAATGTTATAAATCATCTTTGGGGCACCCAAAATACAAATTGGGCTTTAGAAATAAAATTACTTTTTCAGAATCTACTGGAGGAATTAAAATTCTTTGGATTGGCTATGCTTTCATATACAATTGTATATACAAACAAACATGCTAAATCTTATCACTGGAAAACCTAGATTCTATGGTCAGGAAGAGTTCCTCAAAATAACATAAAGAAGGCATCTGATAATTTGGTGTTTTATATAGTATCAAATTGTGCTTGTGTCCTTATTTATCTTTTGCAAGTTCATTTGCATGTACTTCAGAAATAAAAATATGTTTTTGGCTCTAATTCAGTGAAAGTAGGCCTACAAAGATAATTTAGGTTCTAATTGCAGTGAGCCTTGAATGTCATGTTCAGGGCTGGTGAACTATTAAAGTCTTATGAATAAAGGAGTACTAATTGTAATAGTAATAAAGTCATTCAGAAGAATTATTGTGATATCTTGAGAGTACCAGGATGAAACATGGAAACCAGTTAAAATGTTCTTAACTTTGAGAAAGAGTGGTAAGGGTTTCAACAAGAACAGTGAAATGGGGGGAAAAATTGTTGAAGTCATTAAAAAAGTAAGTTATATTTAGTGTTCTTTCTACTTAAATTATCATTGAAATGTTTGTGGCATTATGGAGATGCAAGTAGTTATCTGGCTTATCTTGATCATGTTGGACTAAAAGAAAACTAATTTTCTGAATAATCTCCAGTTAGAGTTTTAGCACAAAATTATATACAAAGAATTTATAAAATTTGTACTTATAATGAATTCCCGTGTACTGCTGTTAAATATTACTACAGTGTGGTGATGCAAATTATATTACCCATCTTTATTTCTGTTTGTCATAGAAAGGAAAATCTAAGTAAGTATAGTACTTGGTGATTATAATTGGGTTTTATCATACCTAGGAAAGTCAGAATCTTAATTTCAGAAAATTTTCTGGAAATCTTTTATTAGGTCATTTTTAACCATAATAGAGTTACATTCCTCCCCCATACACATGTTCTGAATATAAAAATGATTTTAGATTTGAACATTTTAAAAGTATCTTCAAAATAAAGACATTTAAAATAAAGACCGATTTTTCTTCTATATTGGTTCATTTTATTTTCTTTAATTAAATTGTTATTTTTAAAATACTACATGTTCATGATAGTATAGAAAAATATAAAGTCTTTCCTGCCTCCCATTTTCATTCCTCAGAGGTAACCAATGTTTAGTTTTGTTTTTAATCATGCGTGGATTATACTATACATAATTTTTTTTGCTTACATAGACAACTTTTCATATCTATCTATAGATAGATACTTATATCTTTATGTTTTATGGATAAATAATATTTTTATTACCTCTTAAGTAAAGTGGATACTTAAAATAGAAACTATTCTTAGCCTTATCAGCACTCTTAGACTTAGAAGACTTAATTTATAGAGCTGTTTTTAAAAAATACAATTGCTACTGAATCATTTGACATTTTGAGAGTCTGTAAAGTTTTTAATGCCCTAAATCAGTGCTTCTCAAACTTTCCCACCCTCCCAGAACAAAGTTATGATAGAATATAACCTCAGTAGGTCTGAGAGTAAGGATAAAGCCAAAAAAGCCTTCTTAAGGAAAGTTACGTACAAATTTTGCATTCAGCTTTATACATTATGCAATTTCTATTAAAGTCAATGTTAGGATGTTAAAAGCACTTACAGCTGAGTAAAAGTGATGGTCCAGGGAGATGTGCTAGCCTTAACGTGGGGCTCTTTTACTTATTCAGGCTCCTTGCCACTTATTTTAGCATACACTGCTATACTGGCAAGGTTTTATACCCTAGTTTGAGAAACACATATACTTAAGCCATGATATGTATACATTTAAATTCTAACATCTTTTTTGTGTTCAAAGGGATCATGTAGAAACGTGGTTTGGATTCTTATGCTCATGTGATAAGGATGTTGACACTCCAATAAGATGGCAAAACAGATAAACCGAAAAACCATTCTACAACAAACACCCAGAGATATTGCTTATTACAACAGATATATCTTACAAAAAAATAAAGGAAAACATCAGGACAAAAGATGATGAGAATTGAACCCTAAATGTAGGAAGCAAGCATGGAAGCCAAGGGCTTTACTGTAGCCTCTGCCAGGATATAGAATGAAGAGCCCCAGGTGTAAATGGCTCATATGTAACTGGACACAGGTTCTTTGTTACACACTGGATGAGGTAGCAGAACTGAGACCTCTGCTTAAGAGTGGTATCTTTGAAGGGCACAGCTCAAAGAAAAGTAAGCTAGAGGAAAAAAAAAATCAGTTTTCTGACTACATAAACTTCTATTTCTTAACAGAGGGTCTCCCTTCATGCTATTGCGAATTTAAATTTGCCCTACTTACACAATCAAGAAAACCCCAACAAACAAGACAAGTTAAAAGTGCTTTGAGATTGGTAGTGTTTGAGGGCACTGAGAGTGAGTGAAACTCCGTTTGAAAGTCATATGCTTTCAATCCATGCCTTTAGGATTATTCTAGATTAAGAATAATCAAATATGAAGCCACAGTAAAAATTACCACACCCATAAGATGCAAGGTACCACAAGTGAAAATCAGCAGAAATAACACAAAGCAGAATTAAGCCCTCAATTTTAAGACTCCAAATATTTGGAATTACCAGATATGGAGTATAAGATATATATACTTAAATTATTTACAGAAATAAAAGAAATCAAAATGTGCAAGGAATGAAAACTATCAAAATGGCTAAAAGAACTAAATAAAACATTTAGAAATAGTTAAAAATTTTAAATAGATATGAAATAGGTGACAAGAGAATTAGTAAGCTGTAAGATATATCTGCAACTACCCAGAATGCAGTGCACACAAATAGATGAGAAAAATGATAGGTTAAGGAACATGTACAAAAGGAAAGGAAGGACTAACAGCATAATTAGAACTACAGTCGAAGTAAATAGAATAGGGAGAGACTTTTCAATTCAAGAGAGATTGGCCAAGAACTTTCTAGATAAAGGATATCAATTCTTAGCAGGATAAATAAAAAGAAACCTACCCTGTGACACACCTAATGAGGCTACAGAAGAACAAAAACAAAGGAGAGATTTTTAAATCAGCTAAACAGAAAAGCTGTTACACAGGTTTCATAGTTAGACTGAAGTATACTTTCCAGCACCAGCAATGGAAGCTAGAAGACTAGAATCATAACTTCATAGAGCTGAAAAATAGCTAACTACAAAGAATTGCATGTCTACCCTAAATTATTTTTGAGGGGGCTACACATTAAAGACATTTTAAAACAAAACCTGAAAGAATTCACTATAGTAGACCTTCATTAAAAGTATTTTGGGGGAAAAAAATGATTACATAAGGCAAATATAAGATTCAAGAAAGAATGGCGAGACAAAATGAGCAAACATACATTAAACATTGGCTATACAAAACAATATCTTTTTTGCATGTAAGGGGAGATTGCTGGAGGAAATTCAAAAAAAAGAATGATTTCTACCGGCTTGCAGAACAACTTACGTGCCTATAATCCTTTTAGGTAAACATTTTTAAATGTAAAATTAAGTTTAATAATAAGCTTATAAAAATTATCTTTTACTTCCACAGTCCTTTTTATAATTTCAGAATGCTTTATATATTTTATTTCCTATAAGAGTAACAAGTTACATTGGGATATGAAAAACCCAAAACTATGAGTACTAAGGGAATCTTAGTACTTTGGCACATTAGTTGTTTTAACTCTAGTACAGTACAAGACTTATCACCATAAAAATTTATTTCTCACTCATGTGAAATTCAAAACAGATGACTTTCTATGTGATTATTTAAGGACCTAGTTAGGCTCCCTCCATCTTGTACTTTGGGGACCAGCAGATAAAGAGAATGGAGATCGTGTACAAGAGGTTTTTTGAGCCAGAACTAGAAGTGAGCCATGGGTCTCCTAGCCACATGCCAGTGGCCACAGCTCAATCTTAGCCACACCTACCTGCAAGATAGATTGGGAAATGTCTTATGCTCTAGAAGAAGAAGGGATGTGTTTGGTGAGCAGCTATCCAGTCCCAACCACGTCTACCTTTTGGTCACCCAAGATCTTATATTCTCTTAGGTAGAACTACTCACTGCCCTTTGCCAATTAAACACCCCAAAGGCTCTTCCAATAACCATCCAGCTCATGGTCTAGTATCTCTGGATGATGTGTAAGTGCTCTCCAACTGGTCTGGATGTGGCTCCTCCCAGTCTCTAGACAAATGAATTAAAAAGATAAGTTATCTGTCACCCTCCTCCTCCCCCTTCCAACACACACACAGACACACAGTGACAGAAAAGAAACAGGACAATCAGTAAGTTTCCAGCCTCCAATATCAGTTTTCATGCTGCCTACTACTAAGCCAATACCAAATATATTAGATTTTTGTTACAGCAGCACCCACTTTGATACTATTTTCTTATATTGATTAGAGTGACACTGTTGTGATAGATAAGCTCTGAAATTTCATGTCTTAACAAAGTACTGGGTTTTTTTGTTTCACTCATGAACTCTGAGGTGAATGTACCTGATTAGTTGGCAGTTTCTCACATGATGGTTCAGAATCCCAGGCTCCTTATAGTTCATAATCCTCTGCATTTGGTGGCATATGGGGAAAAAAGGACTTCTAGGCCAGGCCTGGAAGTGAGTACATTGCTTCCACCCATATTCCATTGGCTAGAGTGGTCGTATAGCCACATCTAACTACTCAGAAGGCTTGGAAATGTTATCTTATATGCCCAGGAGGGAGAAGAAATGGGCTTAGTGAACAGCTAACCAGTCTTCTACATTAAGCTAAACTAAAGACACTCATTTCTGTTCACCATAAGGTTAATATGAATGTTAATATAATAACTTTTAGACGATGATCCAGAGTTTGAAATCACAGTCTGTAATGTGTGTCCATATTAATGTGTATAGACCTGAAACAGAATTTTCATGAAACAATAGTTAATTTTACTATTTATAATGCATTTTGATATTTTATATTTTTTAAGGTGCTCTTATAGTCTACTGAATGCTCTTATAGTTTTGTGATCTGGATTTCCAGATTTATGATCTAGATTTTATGATTTAGATTTTATGACTGGGTTTCTACTACAGCTTGAAAAACACTGGAAATTTAGGGGCAAGTGATTTATGAAGGTATTCATATTCATCTACTCACATTTCAGGACATTATAATGTTGACCTACTAGAAGTTTTTTAAACCCCATATTTTAATTTGGCCTAAAGAGAACTATAGTAGGAAAAATTATGGAGATAGAGGTAGAGGCATCAAAGTGTGGGTCTAGCAGTCTTCCTAAGAGAAGTAGGTTAAGGTCAATTGATTTTTGCTATTTAATTAATGTTTAGAGGAATAGTTAATATTCCTCTGAACTATTAAGCTGTTATAATGACCAGATAACATTTCACAGAAACTGAATGGTGACATTTTGCTTAACCCTTTCTGTTTCCACAAATGTCTCTTTATTATAGAATCAAATATTAATCTTACACCCTTTGATTCTTTTTTTTTAACAGCTTGCTGCTGGTCGCAGGGGGTACAGTTTTAAAAATCTGTGATTTTGGTACAGCCTGTGACATTCAGACACACATGACCAATAATAAGGGGAGTGCTGCTTGGATGGCACCTGAAGTTTTTGAAGGTAAAATGACAGAAGCATGATATGATTGATAATCTGCCTTATTATTCCATGTAAACCCAATATGTGTTTATGACTTCATCTTGTTTTCATGGTTTTAGTTCTACATGTACATAATTACTAGATATATACTGAAGTGTAAGGAATTATTACTAAATATAACCTTAGATCTTAAATCTCATAGCAAGATTTAAGTGGTCTAGCACCTTCTATGCAAGTTTAAGCATATGTACAGTTGATCTTCTTTCTCAGATTCTGTAATTACAAAATCACCTATTTGTAAACTTAAAACCAATATTCATGGTTATTCACAGACACATATAGAGCAGGAAAAAATTTTGAGTTGCCCAACACACGTTCCCAGCTGAGGTCGAACAAAGTAATGCTCTTCCTCGTTTTAGCTCTCAAACTATGTTGTTTTTGTCATCTATTTAGCGCCACATCATTTTTCACTTTCTGTTTTTTATTGGTGATTTCACTGTTTAAAATGGCCACCAAGAGCAGAATTGAAGTGCTTTCTAGTGTTTCTAAGTATAAGAACACTGTGATGTATCTTCCAAGAAAATACATGTGCTAGCTAATCTTCATTCAGGCATAAGTTCAATATTAATGAATGGCCATGAGTTCAATATTAACGAATCAACAATATATATTAAATAAGGTGTTTTAAACGGAAACACATCCTTTGGCAAAAATGAAGAGGCTTACAGGAAACCCTTTATTTCTCCTAGGAGCAAATGATTCAGGGTTCACTGATTCAATGTTCATAGCAACTATAGAACTAAATACCAGGAATAACCGGAATCAACTATGTTTTCGTGTTGGTTTCCTGGCAACTAAAAATTGATAGTCTAAAGTATAAATGAGCATGCCTTGATGAGAATGAAAGTAGGCAAAAATATGGTACTAAGAACAAGTAAAGGATAAGCTTATGTTTACTTTCTTTTACATGTTCACATCTCACTCAAGTTCTGAAAGAGTGAGCCATAAATTTCATGCTAGGGTTTCTGTATAAAAACATCAAATTGTCTTTTAAATGAGAAAAGTTGAACTGAAGATGTTTGATTTGTATGTTAGGATGTATGAATGCCTGTAAAATTCAGTATGTTCAATAATCAGATTCTGATTAAAGGGGTTTTGTTTTTGTTTTTTATGAATTTGAAGTTTTTGTTTGCTTTTAGCCACCCGAGAGAAAAATTTGCTATGTAACTGGTCACTTGAGTAGACCAGTTTTGCCATAAAATTCGATTTAAAAATTAGTGGACAAGCAAGGGTTAAATTAAATAATGCCTTCTTATTTTCAGGCTCATACACAGAATACATCTAATTGGCATTGTTTTAAAATTATTTAATACACCTTTCTATGAGTTAAAATAACAGTATTCCTGTGGAATAGAAAGCAAAAAGATTTGTTTATACAAAGGAACCCAGAAATAAGTTATTGTTAATAGTATAGAGTAACAAAGCTCAGACTATTAGGCTATGTAGATTTTTTTTTGTTTCTGAAAGGTGTCAACACCTATAGCCCAAATTAGATTGTAATGACGTCGTAATTTAATGCTTACAGTTCACTGCTAAGTACATGTGTAGTATATATATTAAGTACTTATGTAGTTGTCTTTATTGTGGGTAGCTTGAGGTTTTGGGGGGGTGCTATTTATTGTGATGATTCACCACCAGTTTATAAATCCTACAAATTTTACTGCATAATCTGTTTACTATAAATTTGTTATCCATAACTTTCACTGTTTACAATTTATTTTTAAGTTTGCAAATTAAGAACTTCATCTCACCAGATATTGAAAAGAAAATCTTAACACTAAATTAGAAGTTTCTTCTGCTTTGATAATAATTCTTTCCATCAAGAGAATGGGGGAAGAAAATTTAAGATTAAAACATTATAGAAGGGAAAGTACATCATCTCAGAGAAAGTATAAATCAAAATAAATAAAAGATAAGGCTTGTGACTCTTGATAAAAAAGTAGAAAAGGACCAACTTTCTAAAGTAGATTTTCTAGTTCATTATTATTACGTAATTCATTTTTTAAAATATATCTGTTGCAAAGACTTAAGGAACTTCAGAAAGAGTTATTTCTCAGCTCTACATGTTGCATCATCTAGTTCATGTGCATCTAGTTTGATGTTCATTCTTAAAATTTATGAAAATAGTTTCTGTAAGTCATGTGGAAAAAATATCTTGAAATTATACTACCTTTTTTTCTAGGTAGCAATTACAGTGAAAAATGTGATGTCTTCAGCTGGGGTATTATCCTTTGGGAAGTGATAACACGTCGGAAACCCTTTGATGAGATTGGTGGCCCAGCTTTCCGTATCATGTGGGCTGTTCATAATGGTTTGTGAAAAGACATTTTTCTTTAATATATTTTACGTATTTCCTCTTTGGAAAATTGTTTCTCCCTTAAGGAAGACTATTTATCCCTAACATTAATATACAACTCTTTGGTACCAGAATACTTTCCTGCCACATTTTGCTACCAACCCCAGAGTCAGGCAGGGCAAGGCTGGGAGTGGCCCTAGCCCATGCACCAGGCTGAGGGGGTCTGCTGGCTCTACTGGT